AAAAAATAAGGTGTTTACAGTTATGTGTATCGATTAACCAGTTTCCTACCTGCCTATACATAGTAGCAAATATTTTCCAACTCAGCCAGCGCAGGCAGTTTTTAATTTTCATAAAAAATCATTTTCATAATAAGGTGACACTTCGTTCGGGAATGTTCTTAGACAACCATCTTTCATTAGTTGTAAAAGGGTTGTAGATCGAAAGCTGACCGAACAATTACGATAATGGTATTTTTCTTTGCGTCGTCCTAACCGCTGACACAAATGAGCTTGGGCGCCAGTGATAACGAGGTGTCGTTCTCACCACTTTGTACCATTGTTCGTATTTGTAGAAAAGACACTAATTCCGATTATACATCGTTGCAAAATTGATGACACGACAATCGAGTTAGAGGAAGGATAAGGAGGCAAAACGTGAGGACGATAACTCTGATTATAGTTTCATTATTAGAAAATGCTTTCCTTGCTTCTTAGTCTCAGCCTCACGATATCAATCTTATTAATCGACTTCCATGCACCAATAGCCATGTTCCAATAATATTCGAAATTAATTTGTATTCCTCGTACGTCTGGTCGAAAGTGTTTAATTGAACAAATTGAGCGTCTGTATTAAAAATTATTCATGTACTGAATGTAAAGCATGCTTTTACTAATAGCGGAAGAGCAGAATAAAATTAGCATCTTCGTTCAAACAGTTGCTATAGTTTTCACATTTCAGAAATTATTCTGTTATTGTATATTTGGTAAATACACGGAATCATGTATTATTTTATAAACACGGTCTTCAAACATCGCCAATTTTCATTCTTTATCTTAAGTAGTTCCAGCAGTGATCAGATTAAACTATTTGATTGAATACTTTCTGCTAGGAGTAGCAGTAATTAAAATAAATTTCTTTATAGAGACTAAGAGTAACAAACTAAGAGTTCGATTCTGCCGTAAATGTTGTAATTTTGGGAAAACATGTTGATCGATTAATCTCATCAGGGACGAATTTGCTTTACACCAGAACAAAATAATTTTTTTTCTTTCTCAGCTGTATTTATTTAAAATATATTTGTGAATATTGTATGTACCAGTATCCCCCAAGAAGTTACAAAAATTGTTTTTTTTTTAACAATTAAAAATTAAATGGTGCCTCAAGTAATGAACGTCGAAAGAGTAGGAAAAGTAGGGGAGGTCGGCAGTAGCTTCGTGGAAAACTTTTTTCTCGGCGGTTTGTGCACTTTAGATAAGTTCTCCAGCCCGACAACGCGAAGCCTCGCTCGTAACTTCGCCCCGAGCGAAATTAATTTCTTCTCGATAGAATCTTAACGACAAACGAGCCCCGTCGCGTACGGCTTACGCGTGAGCTTTTTTATCGGCGTTTTACAATCGGTCGAGAACGTTTGTTTGGAATTTCGAGAGAGAACAGCTGTTTGCACAAATTATCGAACGATCATCGTTAGAGACGACTAATCAAGGACTTTTCAAACGAGCTCTTCCCCCCGTTATCGGTAACCCGATCCGCATGAGAGATGATTCTTAAACGACCTGATAATAGTTTCGTGCAAATATTTATGTTTCCGTGAATTCCTTACGTGTTGAGCAGAGAAATTCGAACGAACTCGACCAGTTCAGAACGTACATACCATACAGTGGGTAAAAAAGGTATTTGCACACCCTTTAAAACAGAACAACTTTTTTTGAAATTAGGGCAAGTGACTTGAGTTTTGTTGGGAAGTTAAAAGGATTAGTTTACAAAAATTGGATTGTATGTTTACAAAGAAGGAGTAGTGTGTCAAACAAATATTGAAAAAATTGAAACTGGTTGCTATTGCGAAAAAAATAGTAAAGGTCACTTTTTACAACTTCTTTATCTGAGACTAATGAAAATTTAAAAAATACATTTCGAAGATTCACATTAGTTCTTTACATGATAAAACGTTGAGTGAAATTGATTGGTACAGAAACGAGCGACAGCCAACGAAACATGTTAAAATCTTTCGATTTACATACTATAGTTACAGGCCGAAAATCGCGAAAAACTGCGTTATTCATCATTTGTAACCGGTTGTTTCTCATAGCAACGTTAACTGATTGCGATGAAATTTTCAGCATGTAGATAGCTAACATAAATCTAAGAGATATATTTAAACAAATTTTTAATTACAGTCTCAGATAATTACTATTTCCTTTGCGATTCCGAACAGTTGCAATTTCTTCAACATTTTTCAACATTTTCATCATTTAGTAAACTAATATTTCCATCTTCACAGAAAAATTCGAGTCACTTAGTCCAATTTTAATTCATTTACCCACTATGTATAGGTAATTGTTATGCTAACCCCAAAGAGTTAACCCATTAACCGTTATTGTTGTATAAACGCAATATTAGATTTTAATTTTTTTTTAATTATGGTAAAGGCAATATAAAGCTTTCTATCTATCATAATTATGTCCCTAAATTTGTGTAAAGGCATAACAAATTTTGTTTGCGAATGAAAAAGTAATTGTTTTATATTTACCAATTTTTCAAGTAAGAATGATGTTCGTCAAGAAATGAGAAGAGACAATATTAACCATATCATTGGGGAACATCCTGATAAATCGAGGAAGAGATGTAAAATATGTTCAAGACAAACAATTGATACGTGTGGTGAATGCAATGTCCATTTACAGCATCTTTCAGGGTCTATCATAATTAATAATTACTTAATTTTGTATAATAGTTTAAGCCAAGTAACAAATACATATACATGTGTATTTTGTTATTAGGGTCCTATATTCTCAATTTACTAAAACTTAATTAAAATGTCCTAATTTTTATATTTTAATTGAACATATATAATATAAATAGTCCTAGAGTTTCTACTTTAATGCTTGGCCGGTAATGGGTGAAAAGAGGAACTTAATTGACACGAATAGAACGAAAGTTGTCTATAATGTCTATACATCAGCTAATACACCATAGTTAATTAGATTTCGATTGAACGTTAACATGATAGTAAGTATTTTGGTTATTCAACAAGTACATATGAAATTAATCGTAAGAAGAAATCACAGATTTACCTCTCTTTGCTTAAGGCGTTTGCTACCGTCATTTTGTTTCGAAACTGTTCGTCACAGACCACCTCAAATTTCAGTACAATGCATTTACCTTCTTATTTAGGCACTATGTAGAAGATATAACAAAGGGATGCAATGATGTAATATAAATAATATAATAAAATACAAAAAAAGTAAGTGAATATTTTAAACTTCGTTCGGTTTTTTTAATGTGAACTGCAAAATCTCCCGTAAGAAATTGGAGCGTCATTAAAGACATGTGATTTTCTTTTTAAGGTATTTATATGCGTTATATGCGTTCAAAATTGATTGTCGGCATTAAAACATTTCACTTTACTCTCAACTAAATACCACATAAAAGTGGGCGGTGCAACTTCAACGTCCTTAAATAAATTTTATTTCTTACGAATTTAACGAGAGCTTATCCTCCGGTTGTAAACCGTTTGGTTGTCGATTTCCAAACCAGACGGTCGCCTGACGTTTGTTCCGTGCATCAGGAATCGTTTGCAGTTGTCGAAGGAAATGGATAAAGATCCATCATATCGAAAAGGGACTTTGCTCGTCGCTGACGTAAACAGATTGTTCGGACCGTCGATGATGAAAGGCTCGACACGATTTATTGGTTGATTCAGGTGTGCACAGTTCACCTTGACTCATTATTCCAAATCGTGTTTCGTCGTTCTCTTCGTCCGTTTATAGAATTTGCATCTTGCTTCAAGCTTGCGTTTCTGTCACGATCATTCGAGGAAACCAATTGTCGGTAATCGATTTGCAAATGGAGAACTTCGATCAATAATACTAAAATAGATGACATTTTTAAAGCAACACTGCAAAATGATTAGTACAATAATTGTATTTTGTATGTGTTCCAAAATTTTTTGTTCACGAAGCATAACAGAAAACCAACATTTATTCTTTAGTTGATTATTTATGAAGGCAACATGCACTTTTCGGTTCATAGTGACCACGGAAGCATACAATATAATGTACTTACAAAATTACAAAATTTACAGAATTTTAATACAGTTTGTGTTGAATAAGTACATTGGTCTTTAGTTTTAATCGTTATGGTTAAGTATACATATGTGGTTTAATTCCACCGAATACTTGAGATCTTTCTGTATATGTATGTATATACACAGTCTGAATTCCTGAACAGCTGCTCTACCAAATTCGACAAAATGCTGGATTTCAGATTTCTAATTTTACAATTACTGGAAACATAATGGTGATTTTATCGGAATTTATATTAACCATGCGTTATAGATTTTATAGCATAAGTACTATACTTTTTATGCTAAATTACATTATATATTATTATATTATACAACGTAATTTATTGTAAATTCAACGCTGGTAGTTTTGATGTAAAAATATAGCACATGGCTATAACCCAAAATATTTTTCAATACTGTTTTATTTTGCACGTTTATATATCTATATTACAAAATATAGACAAACAAATATATACAATATCCTAAAAAACACACTTTGAAATTAATATCAATGCATTAAATGTTCTCAATCATTATCCAGCACAGTAATTGAGGGTTCCGGCGCAAAAGGGAGCTGCGCTACAAAATATTTAAAAATGAGATTTCTATTAATTCTGGCACTTCTTAATGTCTAGTTATTGTCCCTGAATTTATAACTATGTGGCAAAGTTCCTCTCTGTAGTCTGTACTATGATCGTACATACATATACATATGTATACAATCATAGTATACTATGATGTACGCTACTTTCTATAAAAGCTTCAATATTCCACAACGCTACTGTTCTGGAATAGCTCCCTCTTGTACTGGACCCCTCAATTGTGTTTCGGTTTAAATATTCTGAAAGTTATTTATGACTCAACCCAACACGTAAACGTTTGGAATCTCTTGCTAACAGCCCACTCCAGGTGCATCCTGAAATCTCTAAAATCGAATTTTTGGGATTTTTGTTCTAGGCGAGAAACCGCACAAGTGCGTGGTATGCGGCAAGGCGTTCTCCCAGAGCAGCAATCTGATCACTCACATGCGCAAGCACACCGGTTATAAGCCGTTCCAGTGCGGTCTATGTGAGAAAGCGTTCCAGAGGAAGGTGGACCTAAGGAGGCACCGAGAAGGACAGCATCCAGCAGCGCCGGCCCTCGATTATCGTTCCCTCCAGTTACCGTCGCAACCTACCACCATTCGACACTCGCCACCGCATCAGACCTCTGCTGCTTATCACATGATACCGATTCCTGGCAACAGTTGAGATCCCTCGACGATCGTTCCTTCTTTTCTTAGAATTTTTCCCCGTGTCTCCTTTAAGCCGATCGTATGCGACTCCATCGCTGCGCCATCTGCTCATCACATGTTACTACCGATTCCTGGAAACAGTTGAGATCCTACAACGATATCATCGTCCATTCTTCCTTTTCTTCGAACTTTTCCTCGTGTCTCCTTTGAACCGATAGTATACAACTGGATCGCTGCGCCATCGGCTGTTCGGTCTAAAGAATCAACGATGAGGCCTACGAGGGAGGAAAACACGAACAGCGGTGAATTACGAAGTACACTTCAAATTGATTAGCAAACGTGATTCGGTATAAATCTCGTAAATTTGGTGCGTGAATTATCTGACTGTGTTACGAGAGTAGGATTTTTACAACGAATGATTGGAACAGGATTTCTTCCCAGATAGCAGATGACGCCTTGAAGACACCTACTTTACGGCTATTTTAGGTCTGACAATGAGGTGCGTTTAAGCCGTCTTCAAAACGTCATTGAACCTATCTGGGTTAGGTACTACTTTCACGAAAACGAAACTTTAGTCTGGACATTTGTTAAATTATATGTGGCCCTCAGAAACGATACCCCGCCTCAACTTACGTAAACACCACTTCTAGTACCAATTGGGATGTTAAATTTTGGAATAAGAACTTGATGAGGATAAAAGAAAATTGAACTAATAACCTATTTTTTAGGTTAAAGTTTCCTGAGAAATTCAATGGTAATAATTGTAAAAGTGAGAAATAATTTTTAACTGCGAAAATTTGTTAAAAAGAAATGGTACATTGCAAAACAAACAGAGGAAACAACGTTTTGCTGGTGTAAAATCGCACTAGCGTGGTGTCTGAAGATTAAAAGGACAAAGTGATAGCCACCATAGGTCTTATCGTGATGCGAAATCCATAAGTAACTTCCACCGTAGACACTAAAAAAGTTACTGCATAGTAATTGAATAGCAACAATAAAGGAAATATTTAAACTGAATAACAATAACTGAGTTCAATAATGACTGAGAATGTATGGTATACTGATATTAAGAGCGATCAGAACGATATAAGCTTAAAACGGGAAGACGAAAGTTACGACTCGACCTAATATTAGGTGCATCAATGACTAATCCACTATTTTCTTAATAAATTAGCAGTATAGTGTAGATACATTTTCATACTTCTATGTTTGAAGCCAGTCGCGTAGGGTGTTCAAAACATTCCAACGTAGTCGCGTAAACATAACACTTTATTTTGCATTCAGGCTATCAAGGTTTTATTTTCATTACGTCAATGTGACATCTGATACTTCACGAAATCGTTAACCGATTCGCGAATACCGTGTTTTCGTACATTTATCACATAATAACGTATTTATCGATTTTGTAATTTCCCTCTAATAAGTTATTATTCATGCACTAAACAAAACTGTCGAACTCGGTGAGGTGGGGTACATGCGATTAGCAAGAATTAGAAAATTGATCAAAAAATAGTGGGCTACTCTTCGATATACCCAACACTCCAGACGTCAATTAAATCATGCAACAATAACAGACAATCTTGGACAATTAATTTGACAAATTACCTTTACATAATTTCAAGCTTGCACGGTTTTCCAACACGAATTCGATAAAACTTAAGGGAGGAATATTTCCTGAAATCAACGGCCAAAGTATTCTAAACGCATAAATTAAATTTGTCGTAATTACCGCGGACTGTTGTTCCAAGAAGAAACAATTTCCATTCGAAAAGTTTCGTAACCAGGAGTTTCGATGCGTTCGACGCATAGGTAGGTACAATGCAGAGCATACACCTGTTCGAAGTGTACCCTTAGCTCTACTGATAACCGGTACTTATACGCGCCTCCCGAATTTTCAACAATGGAAAAACGACTTAAGGGAGGCACGCTTTTGCATAATATTCAAACTAAAGCTGTATGTAGTCATCAGCGAGTGAACAAGATTAGCCTTTCATGTTAGGGAATCATCAGCCGTCCATTATTGCAGTACTTTCGGTATGTAAGTACATGTATATACAATATAAATATATACTTATATATATATATATATATATATATATATATATATATATACATAATGGGGGATAGGATGACTGGAAAATCTCGCGGTCGAAACATTCAAAGTTTATTGTATTGGTTGGCTTGTGAAACTAATTGCTTCAGTTACAGAAATTTAATCTACGACGTCGACATTGCGTAAAAGTGACAAAGAATGGAGAAATCGAGAATAAAGATTGAAATAATTTTTTTCGACGTACTTAATAATAGGTACTATTTACTTGGAAATCTATCAGAAAACGAAGAATTACGCAACCATTTTTGTTATATTGGTCAGTGTCCATACTCTATCCTAATTTGTGACACATTTAAGGAATCGGAGACTTTACAAGTAAAAATTAATCAGAAACTTGCAGTAAAATTTTTATTGCAAGTTTTACACGATTGCATATTCAGATTTTATACTGTCGACTCAAATTATTTGGATATTTCAGGCATGTATCTGTTGTTATTAATATACAGAGTGTAACAAAAATGTTGAACTAGTTTTTCCTTAGCAACAATGTAATCTGAGGCTTCGTTACCGAGATATTAACGAAAAACCCCGACCAATCAGAGCGCGAGTTTGCCAGCCGAGTTCCCGCGCTACCGTTGGTTACAAATCGCAGCGCGTAGCCACCGGTAGCGCGAGAACTCGGCTGGCAAATTCGCGCTCTGATTGGTCGGGGTTTTTCGTTAATATCTCGGTAACGAAGCCTTAGATTACATTGTTGCTAAGGAAAAACTGGTTCCAATTCACCCCCCGAGTGCCCCATTTCCGGGTCGGACAACATTTTTGTTACACTCTGTATAATATTCTGTTTATGAGTACTATGTGGAAGATGATGATTTATGATCAAAACTGTTATCGCAATATTTCAAAAATACAGGTGTCTACAAAATTCTCTTCTGGCTGTCTAACCTATTTTTACTTGTAAAATTGTCTTTGTCTTAATTTTTCCATTAATTATCAGGTGTCTTGGATAAATTAGAAGAAACATTTACTAATAACGAGAAAATATATATGACGGAAGAATTAAAACCAGAAGGCAACATCATAATTAAACTGAAGCTTAGATTATATGTATTTAAAAAGAATATAATTTTCATTGATAACAATCGAAATAATTTTAATCACGAACAAATGGACAAAACAGTCAATTGAAGGAAAATAGGCAAATTATAAAAAGGCTCCCATCTATTCATAGAATACAGTTTATGCACCTGTATGACTGTACTGACGTAATGATATGTCACGTGTGCGTGTGACTGACTGTGTGCGTACGTGTGTGTATGTTTGCGCTTATAATTTCATACATACGAGTCAGCGTTACCAATTGCACGTGCAGGGTTTTTTTTTAAATATGTACTTAGACGTACGTACAGTTACTTACCGGACCGATTATATTGTTAATCGTTTAAGTGGCGACACGTAAATCGTAATATTATAACATAACACTTCTTAGTCAAGGAATCATCATCGACAAGCGACAAAAAAGACAAATTTTAATTACGCGAATAATTTTACAACGCTGATTAGAAATTCAGATTGTGTAAGTGTCCACAATTTTGAAAGAATTGAAAAGTTGCGATTTAATAGATTTTATTACGAAATGTTTAAATCCTCGCATAAATGTTTCCAATTCGCGACAATATTTGCTTCTGTGGATTTAATTTAAAAGTTTGTGAAAACTTTATTCAACTCTAACGAAAAGTTGATAGTTTTCTTGACCGCAATGGAAAATTTATCGCACCTGACGTGCCATTTAAGGGATTAAAAAATAAGAATTAATTTCAAAGTGTGTTGAAACGAGTGTTAGAAAAAGCCATATCTACGTTGGAAAATAATGTTCAGGAACGCAATACATTAAAAAATATACGCTGCAAGCACGAAGACGACGATACTGAATTTGATCTTGCATACGAATAACAGTTTTAATGTAATCAAATGAAATATGTAGTCAAATTCATATAAGAAAATGAGAGAAAAGGGAAATATTTCTCCTTGTAATGTTTCCGATAAATTTTTTTTAATTTAAAGATTAGGTTTCGTATTTTAGACGTATATTTCCACAAATTGTATATGCGTTTGACACACGTGTATATTAGATATTACGATATAAATGTTTAGTGGAATGCGTAAACTATTCGCAATGTAATTTTTTTGAAACCAAAGTTAATTCTGGATCCTTGTGCAAGCGGTTTCAATCAAATTCTCTAAGACAGTGTCACAAAATGAATATTTCGAAGTGGATGCATTTGCATATTTGCTACGTCAATCTCGAATTGTGCTTCGTGAACACGATTAAAATGATTACACTGTCTAACAAATTTAAACTTTTTTTCTGATCAACATCAGAATTTCCCCATCTCTCTCGGTTTATGAAAACCATGAGCTTTTGTAAAAACACCCGATTTTGGCCAAAAATGACGTATTACGTGAAAACTAAGAATGCTAGAAAGTTCAATTTAACTTTGAAAGATAGAGGAGAGTTTCCTAAATTCAGCAGTGTATATACCTAGTTATAAAATTGTGTAATTTTTAATGATTATATACCGCGGTGAAAATTTAAAAAAGAACCGATGTACATACATTCTATGCACCATTTTTGCATTTTCACGAAAAGTTCTTTAACTAGTACGAATTTGCGACACGGTATCGGGTGCTGTAAACGTTTGTGAAGAAGAAACCACCCAGAAAGAGTTTCAGAACAGTTTTTAATTCGAACAGGTTGGAAAAATATCCGTCAACAACGTGTGCACGGTGTTTCACCGCCACGCGGCCATTGCTCGCTTACCTCGGACTCTTCAGTGCCGTAGCTATGTGCAATCGACACCGATACTACCGTACAATGGGCATCCCCTTCCCATATGTACAATGTTTGAATTTTTCCATGTATTCGTGAATACTAGTCCCGCAACTGTAATGAACTTTTCCCG